GACACACTTGGGCACACACATAGGCACACACGTGGACACACAGACATATATGAACACATACACCCACACACATGCAGACACACACACGGACATATACCTAGAGACACCCAGAGACACATACACACAGACACACACACATAGACACACATACCCACACACATGCAGGCATACACACACACACACATGGGCACACACACAGCCACGGAGAAGATGGCCTCCAGCAGCCGGAGACAGATCCTATCCTTGGGCCTCACCGACAGCCTGGGTTCCGTCCCCGCTCTGGAGAGCGGTTTGGTGGTGAAACTGCCTGGCTGGGGCCGTTTCAGGGCAACCCCGGGAGCCTGAGCCCAGAGGGTCCTCATGCGGAGGTTTTAAGGGCAGGGTGGTCCGCTGGCCTCAAGATGTGGGGGCTTCCACTGTTAAGCTCCGGTGCACTTGGGTTCCTTGGCTGCTTCCCCCTCCTCTGCACTGGTCTGACAGGTGCTGCTCTTTCTCAGGAAAGCCAGGGAGGGGACCTGGGGCCCCTGGGGCACATGCCACCCTGCCCTCTCTTGGAGAGCTCCGAGAGCTAAGAAGAGGGCTCCAGGGGCTGCACCCAGCCTCCTGTTTCTGAAGCCAAAACACTTGAATTCCCTCTTAACTCATTTCATTGCCTGTATCCTACCCAACTACAAGTTCTGCTGATGCTACCCTGAGATATGCCCACAATCCAGATATCTCATCACCCCATCTTAATTCTCACTTCCATCAAAGACAAGGAGTCAGGAGCTTTTTCCGGGTGTTCCACGTGAGTCAGGGCCAAGGACTTGGGCCATCTTCTACTGCTTTCCCAGGCCATAGCAGAGAGCTGCATGGGAAGAGGAGCTGCCAGGACTCAAACCCGTACCCATATGGGATGCTGGTACTGCAGACGGCTGCTTTACCCACTATGCCCCAGCACCGGCCCACCACTATTAGATTTAACCAACATGAAATTTTAAGAAAACAGTTTTTAGTAAGTGCCAAATATAGCTAAATTTTATAGAAAATACTATATGTTGAACCGGCGCCGTGGCTCAATAGGCTAATCCTCCACCTGCGGCGCTGGCACACCGGGTTCTAGTCCCAGTCAGGGCACCGGATTCAGTCCCGGTTGCCCCTCTTCCAGGCCAGCTCTCTGCTGTGGCCAGGGAGTGCAGTGAAGGATGGCCCAGGTCCTTGGGCCCTGCACCCGCATGGGAGACCAGGAGAAGCACCTGGCTCCTGGCTTCGGATCAGCGCAGTGCGCCGGCCGCAGTGCGCTGGCAGCGGCGGCCATTGGAGGGTGAACCAACGGCAAAAGGAAGACCTTTCTCTCTGTCTCTCTCTCACTGTCCACTCTGCCTGTCAAAAAAAAATACTATATGTCCATTAAACTGTTAGAGTTGCAAGCTAGAGGGTCAGGGGCTGGGGTTGTGAGCCAGAAGGGCTTAGGGCCAAGATGGGGGAGGTTGAAGGGGCTCCCCCATGGGGTTCACGACAGTGCAGAGGCTGATGGGTAGGGAGCCAGCATGTCAGAAGGGATGGAAACGGGGGTCCAGGAAGGCCAAATCGTGGAAATTGGAGGTCTAGAGGGGCCTAGAGGCCTGGATGGGACAGGGACGTGGCTCTGGCCACCTCAGCCCCACTCACCCTGGCAGTGGCTGCCGTCCAGGCTGCTGGCAAAGCTGTGGGGACAGAGGCACATGAAGCTCACATGTTGGCTCAGTCGCCGCCGGTGTAGGGGCCCGGCCGGCTGAGGCATTCGTCCAGATCTGCAAAGACACAGAGGGTTAATGGAGCCTGGATCACCGTGGTGGAGGTGAGCCCCCGCCGCGCTGAGCTGCCGCCCACCTTCACATGTGGTGCCACCGTCGTCCAGCCGGTGTCCAGCCGGGCAGCAGCACTCGAAGGAGCCCACGGTGTTGAGGTAGCTGCCACCCTGGCACAGGCCCGGCATGGCCCGGCATGGCCCAGCACTCGTCCACATCTGCAAGAGGGTGAGAGGCCTGTCCCAGGAAGGAACCAAAGCCGCGAAGGGCAGCCAGCTCCGCCCTGGCTCCCCAGCCCCCACGACTCACCCTGGCAGGCCTCGGTGTGGATGTTGGGGATGAAGCCACGGCGGCAGGGGTGTGGCTGTGCAGCATAGGGCTCACACGGGAGGCCCCAGGCCCTGGCCACGTTGGCACAGCAGAGTGCCTTGGTGTACGCGAGGCCAGTCAGCTGCTGCTGGCACCGCTCAGCGCCCACCTGGCCAAAGCAGGACCCAGTCTGGTAATCTGCGGAGCACACAGAGGCTGGCGGCTGCCCGTGGGCCTCCTCTGCTCTGGGGGCCCCAGCACTAGCACCCCAAACAATTCTCTGACTCTTGCTGAGTCGAATGTCTTCTCTCCCCGGCCCTACTTACCAAACTCTTATTTACCCTTCAAAACCCACATTTTTCAGAGCAGTGGCTAAACAAGCCCCAAGAGAGAGGCCAGGACCTCTGAAGCCCACAGAGGTCAGGGCAGGTCGGGACTCAGACTCAGGCACCCCTCCCTTCAAGCCTGAGCACAGACCAGGAGGGACCCGCCATCTGCCTCTGAATGTCCTGGGCCCGGAACCCCAATGACACCCAGGGCCCAGCCCAAGGTGGCTGTGCAGGAGCCCAGATGTTGTAATTTCCTGTTTCCACCCTCCAGATGTTTTCAATAGAGGGGTCAGCCCCTAGCAGGCCAGGAAGCCACAGCCAGCCCCACCCCAGGCCCCCCTGAGACCCTGGAGGTGTGGCTGCTCCAGGCCCCCAGCCCTGGCCCGATCCAGGGTCCTCACTGTCAGACCCACCCACATTTCTAGAATCTCACCCTTGCCCACCCCTGGCAGCCCGCAGCCCCTCCTGGCCGCCTCCCCCCCTCCCGGCAGCCCCCAGCCCCTCTCAGCTATTCCGGCTCCAATCAGCTTCAGCCACAATGCAGGCGTCAGCCCCAGGGAGCTGCTGCCCTGGGGCCTTGTGGTTTCTAGGGACACGCTAGGCTCTGCGAGGTCGCCCGCCTGGGGAGGTCTCCTGTCCCTGGACTCCCACGCAGTCTCCTGCCTCTCCCCAGGGAGCCTCGGCCAACAGCAAGTTCCCTTCCTGCCCCCGCCTCTACCTTCCAGGCCAGATTGGGGGTTCGTCCTTGACTCCATCTCTTCCAACACCCAGGCGCTGGCACAGCATGGCGTCCACCATGGAGTTTTGCCCCCAGCCCTTCAGCATGTGAGCCCACACCCCTCAGTCTGTGGGACCTGTTTCAGGGGTGGGGGATCCTGGCATCATGGTACAGCGGGTGAAGCTGCTGCCTGCAACGCCGGCATCCTGTATGGGCGTCATTTGGAGCCCTGACGCCTCTACTTCTGTGTACTCCTGCTAACGGCCTGGGAAAGCCCAAGTGCTTGGGGCCCCTGCCACCCATGAGTGAGACCTCGATTCAAGTCCCATCTCCTGGCTTTAGCCGGGCCTTTTCGGCCATTTGGGGAGTGAACCAGTGGACAGAACATCTTTCCATCTCATGCACTCCTATCTTGCAAGAGTCAGCTAAGAAGTTCCCTCCTCCAGGAAGCCCTCCCTGATGGCCTTCTCTGGAGCCCATGGCTTCCCCGTGTTGCTGTATTGACCTCCCTGGGTTCCCGTTTTCTGCTTGTAGCTTCTTCCCCGCCCTGCCCCACTACCCAGGCAGATACATCCTCTGTCTTTCCAATCGGGTTCCAACTGGGGGCCCTCGCTCTGAGCCAGTGAGCAACAGATGTTTGGGAGAACGGGTGAGCAGATGAAGAGATGTCCTCAGCCTGCCCTGCAGCAGGAAGGCCAGCTGGACTCTCTCAGGACCTGGCCTTGTCCCCACCCCCACCCCAGTGCCCCCTCGGCACCTCGCTCACACTGAGGGCCCCTGAAGCCATACACGCAGGCACAGTGGTTGGGCCCGATGCAGCGGCCCCTATTGTGGCAGCCGTGGTCACAGACGGCTGTGGAAGGAGACAGAAAGTGTTGGCTGCAGGTCCCTGGTCAAGCCTGTCCCCAGCCGGGACTCCACACACCCCTGATAAGCTAGAGTTGCCTCCCGGGGCCCCGGGGGTACGCACACTGCCCACACACGATGCCTGTGTAGCCGCGGGGGCACAGGCACGACTCCCCCTGGCAGATGGCCCCGTTCATGCAGCTCACGCTGCACCCTGAGCCTGAGGAGGGGGCACACGGTGAGGGGAAGGCGGGCCCCGAATGGCGGACAGAAGCAGCCCAGCGGCTGGAGACCCGCGACCTGCTCACCTCGGCTCACCCTGCAGCTAGGGGCCAGCGTCCCGTCAGCGCAGGTGCACACGTTGGGCTGGGAGCAGAAGCCCTCGCTACAGGGGTGCCTGCAGACTGCTGCACGGGGAGAGCCTGGCAGTCATGGCCAGCATGCCCAGCTGGGCGCTGTGGGCCACCCACTTCCCCGCCTCGCTCAGGCACCCGCACGCATGCACGCACAGCCCTGTCTGCAGGGAATGTCCCTGCCAGGGAGGGGGTCAGAGGTGCTGGGGGTAGTGGGCATGGGGGCTGTGGGGCATGACCTTAGATTCCAGAGAGAGAGAGAGAGAGAGAGAGAGAGAGAGAGAGACAGGCACATGTGGCCTGGGAGCCACTGGACAAAGCTCAGGGCACTCTGGGGTTCTGCCAGGGCTCCCTGGCCAAGTGCAGGTGTCAACTTGTGGACAGGGCCCCTGCCTGCGACCCCTCCCCCGCCAGGAGGCGCCGCACTCACACATGACACACTGGCTCCTGCCGGGCAGCGTCCTCCAGCTGGGGCAGCAGTAGGCGTGGAAGCGGGAGCCATACACATTGGCCTTTGAGGGACAGCGAGCGGGATGTGGCTGGAGGGCCCTGCCCACTGCCCATCTCCTGGCCCCAGGACAGCGCCTCCCCAGCCCACACCCCCAGCAGGGGCCTCAGCACCCCTGCAAGGTGCCCAGGCTGCCACGCCTCTGCAATTGTCCAGGAGCTGCAGGACCCGGGGCCCGGTCTCAGCGGCCTCCGCTGCCCACCTTGCACAACAGGACCGTCCGCGCCAGCAGGAGTCGAGCCAGGGGACTCCGGGCCACAGGGAGGGCTCCGGCCCCCGTCCCTGCCCAGCATGGACCCTGCGGAGTCATGACTGTGCCTGGGGGGCTGTGGAGAAGAGGTGGAATCAGCCTCAGTGGACACCCCGCCCCCGGCCAAGGGCCCCCCCAGAACTGGGGCCCGGGAGCAGGTGATGGTCAGGGCAGGCTTCTTGGAGGAGGGTGTGGTAGAGGGGCTGCGGAGCAGGAGTGGGCGGACTGTGTGGAGGCCACTGAGGGGGCTTGGGTGGGAGGGAAATGGGTGTTAGGAGGGGTGGGGGGAGGCGGGAAGGCGGCAGCCACAAGTGGTTGTCCTGGCAGGGGCATGAGAGCGCTGAACTTCCCCTGTGGAGCCCAGGAGGGAAGGGGCAACTGAAGGTGATGACTGTCACCAGTGAGGGGCCAGTGGGAGGGGAGGCCAGACAGAGGGGAGGTGGGGCCCCCACCTACGCAGGCGAAGGCGGGGGCGCAGGTGTGGGAGCATTCTAAGGGCAAGGGGTGGCGGCCAACCAAGTGCTACCCGCCACCCCACCTCCCCGTGCCTTTTTCCGGTACTGCTTTCCAGACCAGGGAGTAAAGTCACTGGTCAGGGTGGCTGAAGCGGGGAATGGGCCCAACCAGGTGGTCCCAACCCTCACCCCAGGCCCCTCCCCGAGAGAGACCCTGGTCAACCTCGGAGGATTCCCCCCTGCTGCGGAGGGGCTCCCCCTTGCTCCCAAGTTGTGCCGGGGTCTGCTGGTTCTGCCTCCCACCCTGGCCTGCCTGTTGGGTGGAGAGGGGTCTCTGGCCAGGCTGGGTCTGACTGACCTGCCCCTCCCACCCCCGCGCACCCCTCTGCCTCAGCGAGTGGCACGTCAGGAGTTTGTGACATGAATGAGCAGGGGGCCAGCGCCGCGGCTCACTAGGCTAATCCTCTGCCTGTGGCGCCGGCACACCGGGTTCTAGTCCCGGTGGAGGCGCTGGATTCTGTCCCAGTTGCCCCTCTTCCAGGCCAGCTCTCTGCTGTGGCCCGGGAGGGCAGTGGAAGGTGGCCCAGGTCCTGGGGCCCTGCACCCCATGGGAGACTAGGAGAAGCACCTGGCTCCTGACTTCAGATCAGTGCCAGCTGCTGCGGCCATTGGGGGTGAACCAACGGAAAAGGAAGACCTTTTTCTGTCTCTCACTGTCCACTCTGCCTGTCAAAAAAAGAAGAAGGAAAAAAAAAAAGGAAAGAAATGAGCAAGCGGGGAACCGCGCACTGCACGGGTGGCCAGGGAGGGATTCTGGGCTCCGCGACGGGAAAGGGGCGCCCCGGGGCCCCCGAGCCGCGGCCTCCTCCGGACAGGGGCCAGCACGCGGGTCCCGGGCCGCCGCCAGCCTCGGCTCCGCCCTCACCTGCGACTTGGGGCCCCAGTTGAGCCCCTTTTGACCTCGGCGCCCCGCGCCCTGCGGATGGCGGGGAGGGGAAGGGGTTGGGCCCGGGGCTTCCGGCTGCGAACAAAGGAATCACCCCTC